TTCCCTAGGAATTTTAGTCCATGGTCATATACAAAAGTGTGTAAATAAGGGATAGGGGTTTCCCACTTTTATTTCCCAGGTAAAAATGGTTTATTCATCATCATTGGTTAATCATTACAAATGAATTTTCTTGTCATATGTATGTGACATGTTTATATGAGGACATATGCTTATTAGTTTTTATTGAAAGCAGGTCTTGATGGGATCAGGATGACAGAGAGACAGAAAATGGACAGATCTGATTGAGGGGTTGAATCCATGTGTATCCACCCAGCATGGAAGGGATGAGAGTAGGCTACAGTAATGATTGCTTTAGATTAACAGTGCGCTAATATTTCTAAAACTTTCCTACAACCAGACATTTCTTTGAATATCTAAATTATAAGTTCATTCCTTACCTCATTGCCATTGAGCTCCAAAGGATACATACTACTTCATGGAAGTTATAAAACCCTGAGGCTACTACCTTTGGAAATAATTCCACAAAAGTATAAAAGAAAAGTAGGAGGAGGGAAATGAGGGCAAAGAAATACACAGACAACATTTTTTCTCATTTGTTCTCAATCCTAGCATTTGTTGTGTAGCTAGGCTGAAACCCACTCACTCTTTGTTTTGCTTTATTAAAAAGGTGCCCTACCAGTGAGTCCCATAGTACACTCTGAACAACATGCATTTTCTTACTTTGAACGTGTGTGTGTGTGTGTGTGTGTGTCTTTGATTCATATCTTCTTTTACTTTAATAGTGAAGGTCTATCTATTGCCTTTAGCTCTATAACTACTTTCTTATCTGTTAAAAAATTGTAAGTCTGTTTTTGAATCTTGCATATCAGTCAATCCCTTGCCAAGATTGGTTAAGAAAGAGAAAACTGCACCACTTTGAGGAGTCACTTTCTTGTGCTATTGAAAGAATCGTTCTGCCCTGCAGAGAGAATCCTCTGAAGACTTTCAAATCCAGGCCTTTCTGACCATCCCAGAGAAAGGAAAAACACATAATTCCAAAGTAGGGTGTGGAAATGGGGGTGGCTAACACAAACAAACCATCAAAACCCATTAATCAGGTTGCATTAAGCTTTATAACAACACAGTTTTCATTTAGCAGGAGAAATGACAGTTCAATAACAGCCGAACAGATTTTACTCCCCCCACTCACACAAATTTCCAATTTTACTTGAACAGTCCTGGTTTTAGAGATCTGTGAACAAGTGCTTTATGTCAAATGCTGCATTTTAATCGAATCAAACTAATGGGAAGGGACAATTTATTTGGCAGCCCTTTATGGAGGCATTGCAGACAGCCCTTGCCCTCCCAAACCACTTGCAAATAGGATCTGGCAAATGGAGGCAGCCCTCTTGCCACTGCTTCAATATATGCCATTTCTGAACAGAGAAAATGGAGCACGAGATGACCCTGAGGGGACTGTGGTGGGCAAACAGAAAAATGGTAACTGCTCCCCTTCCTATTCCATCACTAAGGATTACTCATAAAAACACACAAGCCAACTCTCTGGGCTTTGCAAGTCTGGGGACCCGAGGGAACAGAGTGCACCCTAAAAGCATGTTTCATGATTATGCTGCTTGAAGGAAAGGGTCTTCCTGTAAGGAGACTTCCGACCAAGAGGACTGGATTTCTTCTCTTACCCTCAGATAAGACCATTCATCTTTGCCAACCTCAGGGCTCTGAGTTCAGAGCCCTGTAATCATACCAGTGAGAGCAGCCCTGTGGGCCTGATTCTATACAAAGGCATATGCTCAGCTTTTCCATGATTCAGGAAACTCATGAAGAGAGAGAGACCAAATCCTTCTTAGAGGGCTCTTAAAAAGAAGGCTTCCAGGGGTGTCAGCTTTTTTTTTTTTTTTCCTTTTTTTCTTTTTGGTGAAAAATGTGCATGCCTCTGCCTTCGTAATGTAAAGAGGAAAAAAGTCAAGAGGTTGTGGGATGAAGCCTTTAAAGAGAAGACTAGAAACATCTTAGAGAGAGGACCTTGCTCCCTAGGTGTCCTGGAGTACTAGACACAAATAGCTTTCTGGAGAGAATCCAAAGCAAAGATTTAGACATAAATGCCTGTGCCAGATATTCAGGGCTAGAACCCAGGTTCCCCAAACTAATGTGAGGGCCTCCATAAAGTAGACCTTTCTTTCTTTTCTGTCACTCAAATAAACATGGCATCATCTCTGACACTGACAGATCTTTATCCTCTGTCTTTAGACGCCATCTGATCAATCAGATGCTGCTGCCTAGACAAACTTGGTTCCCCCATGGGAATACCATGGGATCCACCTCTTTTCCTAAGCCAATAGCGTTGGAGGCACTCCCGACTGAACAAAGGAGATCTATGTGGCACTCCAGCAAGACTGAAGCTGCACAACCCAGGGGACTTAAGACTCTGGTAAGGAACCTCTTCAGCTATTCACTAGCCTCCCCTCCACATCTCTAGCTTCATTTGTCCCCCTCTTCCTGTTCCCACTGGAAATCTTGACCAGTCATTTGGTAAAACATCATGTTGAAGGGTTTGTAGAATTTCCGCAGTCTGTGGATAACATCTGGGTCAATGCGGGGATGAGTCCGACCTTTGCTCTTGCCTAAGCACCTTGGGGCACTGCTGTCTTCTGGCTTCTTTAGGCAAGGGAACCCCTTGGTTTTGTTGAAATAGAAATGTTTCTCAGTCACAACACGCTTGAGGCCTAGAAAATCCTGTACTTTGGCCATTTCCCCAGCGGGGTCCACTATGAGTCGCTCACCACTGACAAAGAGTATTTGAGAGAGAGGGAAATATTGGAGCCAGTTTTCCAGGTGCAGAGCATAGATCCCTATTCGAATGGCACTCCAGGAGGCATCGATCAGCCCTAGGGTCCGGTTTTTGAACGCCAGCACCTCAAAGGTAGGGATCTCAGGTTTCTTTGACAGTGTCTGGGTATAGTCAGAGATGGCCCTGGTCACTGGGTTTCTGACCACCACAATCAATTTGATGTCCTTGGCCATGGAGTGAATGCGCTTGGGAGCTTCATTTGTCACAAAGTAACTTGGAGTCTTCTCCATGGTTATCTGCCCATCCAAAGTCTTGGGCATCACATTTCTGGAAAAAGGAGGAAAAGGGAAGAGAATGGTTATTCCTATCTATCAATATATATATATATATATAAAAACAAGTGAGGAGCCACCAAATAAAATGATAAATTGAAGTTCTTTTTACTTACATGTCTTGACCATGTATTATCAGAAAAGGTTTATACATTCTTTCTTGAGAATCTTCTACCCCAAGGCTTAAATTGCTGTTCTACCTCTTACCAGTTATGTTTAACCTAGATAAACCCTTAATTTCTCTATGATTTTGTTTTATACACTTAGAAATGGAGATAATGATAGTACTGACTTCACACTACAGTATAAGGATTAAGGGAGATAATTCTTTAAAAGCATTTAGCATAGAATGTGACATGTGTAAGAGCTTAATAAATTAAGGATATTATTATTGTAATAGCTTTCAGAAATGTTTAAGCTCAATAAGACTTCAAAGATTATCTAGTCCATATTTGATAAACTATCACCCACCCCCTGTTTTTGTATGACCTAGCTAGGAATGACTTTTAACTTTTACATGGCTAAGAAAAAACAAAATAGCAATAACAATAGCATTCTGTAATGTATAAAAATGATATGGACTTCAAATTTCAATATTTACAAATAAACTCTCATTGAAACATAGCTGCCCTCATTCACTTACATATTTTCTATGGCTATTGAAAAGAAAAGTTGAATAGGTGTGACAGAGACCATATGGCCCACAATGCTTAGGGTATTTACTATTTGGCCCTTTAAAAATAGTTTGTTAGTGGGAAACAGAGATGGCTTATTACCTGTTGATGATGACATGTATAGTATACTCAACTGTTTTGGTCTGAGAAGTATTTCATGATGGGTAAAGCCTTTTTACAAACAAAATGAGAAATAATAATAATGATGGGGAAAAACATTGAAAAGATATTGAGTGATGAAGTGGAGAGATTAATGTCTCTGTATTGACTGACATGCATGGCATTCCCTTTTGAAAAAGCAATGTAATACACTGTAAAGTTATATGCAATCCAATGTAATATAAACAAGGTTATGATGATAAAAAAAAAAAAAGTTTGTTGACCCTTGACTTAGTCCAAAGACATTATAATGCAAACAAAGAAACTGAAGCCCAGCACAATGAATGGACATAGGAATCAGACTGGCTTTGCAACCTCAGCAAACTGAATCACAACCCTGACCTTTAGTATCCTTATTTATAAATCTTAACAATGAGAAATAATAATAATGATGGGGAAAAACATTGAAAAGATATTGAGTGATGAAGTGGAGAGATTAATGTCTCTGTATTGACTGACATGCATGGCATTCCCTTTTGAAAAAGCAATGTAATACACTGTAAAGTTATATGCAATCCAATGTAATATAAACAAGGTTATGATGATAAAAAAAAAAAAGTTTGTTGACCCTTGACTTAGTCCAAAGACATTATAATGCAAACAAAGAAACTGAAGCCCAGCACAATGAATGGACATAGGAATCAGACTGGCTTTGCAACCTCAGCAAACTGAATCACAACCCTGACCTTTAGTATCCTTATTTATAAATCTTAACAACTTATCTCAAGTTCAGTTGAGAATAAAATGGCAACTAGCATAGGTCTGGTCAATATTTGGAATATTCTTCTTTCTTTGCTCCTAAGGCTGCCCAGGACCCAGGTCTCTTAGTTCTCTTGTTAGGACTGCTTCTCCACACTCACCTCTCCATCTTTCCTGTCTTCTGAGTGGCCTTATCTGATATGGAACCTCCAAGATCTAAAACAGGCTTGATTCCATTTTACCCCTAGTCCCAATGTTGCAGGCTTATCAGTGATAAAAAGAGGCTTGAATACTATTATACAGCCAATTTGTATAGGCATATGTAGATCACAGTTAATTGATGATGAACCTGTTCAATACCTGTTGGTACAGCAGGCCATCTGCCACCATGTGCTCCATTAAATCTATTCACTTCCAAGTCTTGCACCAAAGTGGTACATTTAGGATTACACAAGACCTCTTTGTTATGATGACATGCTTTTAAATGTCTCAGCTAATAAAACTTAATAAAGACGAAGATCCCTTAGCTTCTCATACCATAATTAAATTTATTTACTATCGTGTGTGTGGAGAAAGAATGACTTTTCTTTTATCTCTAATGCACATGCTCTGTCAATAATTAATTGCTACTGGGTTTTGAGCTTTCTCGGCAAGCACTTTTATTAGGCAAGAGGAATCTGCTTGGAAGAGAAATTCATATGAGGTAGACTGTATTAGAGTATAATGGCAGGGCAGCATGAAGTTTCTGAATCACGGCAATAGCTCTGGTTGTAAATAATTATGCACATCTTGGACTGACATATTCTCCAAAGCGGTTCGAATGTCTGTTTGTGCACCTGTTTTGTCCTCGCTGGATCTAATTGTCTCATTGAAAGTGGGTGGGACTAAGGAACATAGACTTTGGGAATCAGATTTGCCTAATGTAAGAGTTCTGATTACCTGGGCTGGCAGGCGGCATGGTGGTTAAGGGCACAAGACTTTCACATGGTTGATGGCAGATTGAGTCCTGGACCTGACAGCTTGCTTTCTCACTTTCTCTCTCTCTCTCTCTCTGCCTCTCTTCCTCTCTCCCTCTCTCTCTTTCTCTCTCTCTCTCTCTCTCTCTCTCTCCCTCCTTCCCTCCCTCCCTCTCTTTCTGTCTCTCACTCTGTCCCTCTCTGGCCAAATTAAAATAAATAAGTAATGAAATAAAGTTAAATAAAATATTTTTTTTAAAATGTTCTGATTACCCCATGTCACCTCAGTAAAGTTAATCAACCCAATTGATTCTCAATTTTGCATCTAAAAAATAGGATTGAGTCTATCTCTCATAGGATTATAATGAATATTAAATATAATAATACAGGTAAGTCACTTGGGTAGTGTGAAATTGATGCCAGAATGTTTTTAACTTAATACAACAGCCCAAAGTAATTTTCATGGCAATACTTAGAGAAGAACAAGGAAAAACTATTTACAAGGGATCAAATGGAAAAGCTGAACAACTGGGAATGGATCTACAAAAAGTGGATTCTAATTCAAATCAATATAAGCGGCTGTGCTTTCTGATCTAAAGCCTGGTGACCAGCAAGGTAAGCAACCATTATTTCAGGTATACTTTGGATTGATGCCCCCTTTTCATTCCAACTGGAGAGGTTATTCCCTTACTTATTATGTAACTCAAGTCATGTTATGAACATTTCAAATAAATGTTGATACAAGAAAATCACCTGAAAATAGTCATATCTATAGGATGTTTTCCAGATTTTAGTCCTTTGTATTTCTGCATGTTTATTTTGTTGCATTTTTCTCTAGTGCAGGAGTAGCTTCACATCTTTTCTTCTCATTCATTCTTTGCCATTCACTTTTTAGACTTTAGTGCTTATCTTTACATTGAGCCTCATTCAAATCCATCTCCTTTACTTCAATCAATTGACAATTTGTCAAGATCTTTGTAGATTTTAAGCATCTTATCTGAAGCATCTGAGATTAAATGGTACCCAATTTATAAGCCAGTGGGTATAGGAGAGTAACTGTGTGCCCAGCTCTGTGCTCGGTACAAAAGGAAATAAGGAAAAGGGTACTAGAGAAGACACTAAAGGAGGAAGAGGAAAACATAGGAATTTAAATAGCTTTGATCACTATCCTACAGGTGCACGTTAAAAACATGTAATGAACTTCTGGGGCACAAGTGATAAAACCATCTTATTGAGCCAAGATCCACCTTTGGTGGCATGAGTTACTCATGTCTTTTGCCAGAAAGATGATATCCAGTAGCAGCTCAAAATCTACAAAGTAGTGGGACCAGCAGTTAGCGTAATGGCTATGTCGCTGGACTCCCACATAGTCGACCATGGTTCGAGTCCCAGACCTGGTGGCTTAAACTCACGCCGGGTGCATGTGTGTGCATACCCAAGATCCTGAGAGGAGAATGGAGGAGAAGGGATTGCAGCATGGCCATCCCCCCTGGGGGGGGATTTCTTGCTTTCTATCTCTCTGTCTCTCTCTGTCTATCTGGCGAGTGCACGCACCCTATAACGAAAACCTTTCCCCCCCAAAAAAAAAAATCTATAAAGTAGCAATATCTCCTTCCTATAAATTATTCTGATTCAGTTATATTCATTCATTCATTCATTCTATAAACGCTCATGTACTCATGATGTAACAGTGAAATTTGACAAATAGAATCACATAATTAACTATTTTAATCAACAGAGTAGCTGCCATTATCATTCTGGTTTTACATAGAAAGAAGCAGGCTTAGAACTTAAGAATGTTTTCCGAAGTCTCACTGAGTGAGTATATCTTTTGTTTCTAAGTCCATTAGCTAAGCAAAAGCCATTTAATACCAGCATCGTTGCCTAACACCAGTTCCTGGCAAATGACAGGTATTCAATAAATATCTGTTGGATGGATGGATGGATGGATGAATAACAAGTCACTCACTAATCTCTCCTAAGTCTAGGCTAGTCTGAAGGCTAGGTTTTTGTTGTGATTGGTCTTATTTCCCTCATCTTTTTATTGCCCTTGTTTCCTCACTAAGGCTCTCTGGTCTCTAAATCAGCAACTATTTTTATACCATTTTGGTCTCCCTCTACCTGTAAGACTAAAGGAGGTATCTGCCCTATTAGATAAAATCAGTCCCTTCACTTAGATTTAGATCTTATTCCCACCCCCCATACTATCTAAGGTATGGTTTACCTCCAGTTTACCCTTTCTCTCCTAAGTAAGTTCTTCTCTCTTAGATCTGACATTCCAACATGCCCATGTTTCACATCATCATCACATGTAATGTGCTTGAGGAACAGAAAAAAAGAGTAGTAATGGCCATGGCCAGAGGAGAGTGAACTAAGTAAGAAAGTTAGAAAGTAAGATCAGGGAGACAGGCAGAAAATACATCATGGAACACTTTATTTACAGACCAAGGAATATTTATTTTTCTCTATGTGATGAGAAGCCACTGAAGAATACTGAGAAGGAGAAT